TATTTTTAGACGTTGCACTTGACCACTACCCTTGACACCCTAAAATTTTTGCGACCATGTTAGCTTACTCATAGAAGTCTGATAAATGCAATCGTCTAAACTATAAAATCTCCCTCATCGCGTATGCTTAGCTACTGCAATGCTAAAAGTGAAAGTTATGGTTCAGAAGGAGCTTAAAATTTCCCACAAAATCGGACATGCAGTACTATAAATTTTTTAAGAGTAACGTAGGCCGAGGATGATGTAGACTTGGGCCTATCTCTGGCAGCTCATTAGATGTATGGAGGCTTCCACTAGCGCTGCCCTTCTTAATTTCCAACGGTTTTGTCATTGTCACTGACGGCAAGTTGAGTGACAGGCGTGGCACCCTTTCCATGCCTAAATCAAAAAATTGATACTGTTCCCAGTATTGTTCCACATTCGCTAGAGTCTTCTCATCCATTAGTGGGTACTTTTGAGTCGCCTGTGCTCGTAATATGTTGAGTATAGTATTTGGGTACTCCCGGTCGACTATATTGATCTCACTGTAAGCTCTCAGAATGTCCAAATAGAGTATGCTTGGAAGAAGTCGCCAAATATTTTCATCATACATTTCCGATTTTTCCGTTTTAGAGGCTAAGTTTTCTGCCTCTTCACGAATTTCGCTTATGTTTCCGGTAACGGAGTCAAGGATTTGAAAGAGGAGGAGACGTGCTATCTCCCTTCGACGAAATATACGAAAAGTGAAGAATCGGACGAGTTCTGGTAGAGGAATGCTATATAGCAAATCGGCCAAAGTGTAGTAGATTATCCCAATTAGGCGATGATAAACTTCATAGTAGTTGTACTTCAAGGGTGGTGGATGAAAAATTGTTAGAGATTTTTTTAATCTATCACGTTCTTCATGAAGGCGCTGAGCATCTCGATATGCAGTAACATTCTTTTCTCTAGGTAAGAGAGCTCGTGCCATCAAGCGTATTAATGTGTCTATCAGTACCTCAACTCCTCCCCTCATGCTGAAGTGTAGTCGTCTGGCTAGGAACGCAATCGTAAAGCAGCATTCCTGCGCCAATTCCTGACAATCTACGATTAGGCAACTAGCCAACGCATCATTCAGTCTCTCCGAATTAGTCTTCATCCATTCTATGAATGGAATTATTAGGCTTTCAGTTGCCGCAACCTTGCACAAAGTATGAAGCGATTCAACTTTCTCAAGGAAGTTACTTTCATTATCGCAAGGAGCGGTGTAGGTCACGCATTTGATAGTTTCGCTAAGAATTTTCTCAGTTAAAGTGGGGTCTGTTTTCATGGGCGAGGAAACATACAAAACGCGACTCACGAACGCAGACAATGAAATACCATCAACAGAGGCAAGATGCTCCAAAACAGAGTTAATTTCTTTCTGTTGAAGAGTCTTGGCGAAGTCTTCCCGATGAATGGTGTATTTAGTGGGAGGCTGACATTGTGACGCATGAGACGAGGTGCGTTCAGTTGCACTTTCATAAATTATCCTAAATGACATTGACTCTTGACTGATCGTGAAACGGATGTGCAAGCGGCAAGAAATGCGTGGACGCCCTTAGTGCAGATCGATTAACAGAGAGAAGTGGAATTTCAAAGCTTGGTCATAGCCACTTCGTGCTGCTATTTGACTACCATGATTAGGAAGTAGGTTTGTCACTGGTATAATGTGGCTAGGAAATACACTAAAATAAATTAGAAAAAAGTGTTTAGTGGCGAGATTTCGGTTTTTAAACAAAAAGGCTGCAGATATGAACATAATAGTAGATAAACGTTTATGGAAAAGCGGAATCGAATGTGAACAAAGTAGTATTCATCTTAAGTGTGAAGATATAAATTATTTTTTCGAAAAGTTATCTGGACAAGATTCCCACAATGTGGAGACTTTTTGGTCGACCTTTGCCAAGTTTAAAAGGGTGACGTAGAAAATAGTTTATCGACTGTAAGCATTTTTGCTTGCTTTGACTAAAAACACCAAAGCCTTCCCTCGGCATTTTACCCAGTGATAGTGAAAA